CAAAGAAAATCCCAATGTAGGCTAAGAAGATTGATTAAAGGAAGTGAATGGTAATCAAAATGATAATTACGAAGAGATCGTGAAATGCATTTAAAATGCAACATAACTACGATAAAAATTATGTTTACTATCATTTTCATTTTACATTGATTGACCACGATCGGCTACGTAAATAGACATGAAATTACACATGTAGTTGTAGATCAAGATTCTCTTCGCTTTCCTGAAAGCTAGAAAGGAATACATTATATAGATTGTCATTAATAATATGTATATCGGTATAAGTAGTAAATAGTGGTTAAACGAGGTTCAATAAATGTAGCACAATAATAGCTGTCTGCTGTTCGTTATAGCTTTGAGTAACCCAAAAACATTCTTATATTACGGAATTGGATTACTTACTGAGGGTCACTGATGAAAACAAAGTATGCATGTGTTGCTCAGTGAAAGATTGATTGATTGATTGTATATTGTTTAACGCCCCTCTCAAGAATTTTTCACTCATATGGAGACGCCACCACTTGCCGGTGGAGGGCTACAAATTTTGTCCTATGCTCGGCACTCAGGGCCTTTGAGCAGTGAGGGATCTTTTTCGTGCCAGCACCTACTGCGACACGGGGCCTCGGTTTATACGGTCTCATCCGAAGGACCGGTTTCCACGTCCCGCAGTGGGATTCGAACCCGCGACGTAAGCTCAGTGAAAGAATTGCTGGAAGTAAATAAACTTGATAAACTTTTAAAGAAATAACTGCTTGCTAAGCTGATTAAAATTAAAAACAGCGTATAAAGATATATATGTATTTGTAAACTGATTAAAATCTAAACATGTAAGTGTTTAGGCTCTGAACACTTTCCGTTACACGTAATGAAATTCATTATATTTGTATTTAGAATTTCAACGCATTAAAAAGTGTAACAAGAATGTGCTTAGAAAAGTGTCTATCATCTAAACATATTTTGTACAGTGTAGACTATACGATTTTATTGACTAAAAATAAATTTCTTTCATTTTCCAAATTCAAAGAATATATCTTATCTAAATTGTATTTCATGCAGTTGGATCACCAACACTTGAACCAGCCTCCAAATCAACAACCAAGAAATCAACGACTACAATATTCGCAGGTACGATAAGGCTTCCCGGAGAATATTGAAGTGTACTCTCTGCTTGCACTTCTCTGAACTACATATATATGACGTCATAATTAAAAATGACGTCAAGTCACTCCATACTTGAGCTGTAATGATGGTTAAAGTGTCATAAACTGTACACCTTATTTTTATCTGCATATAAAGGAGCAGAATGCTAGTTTAAAATAAACGCGTTTATAGAATTTTTTTTTCAAAAAGCTAATATATCCGAATAATTTAGATGACTTTCCTTTATTACTCTCGTTTGAGAGTCAGCGTGTACAAGCCACGTACGAAAATAAAGGTTTGACATTTACCCTTTTCTATACCCGTGGACAGAGGCAGAGTTCATAATATGTGTATAAAAGAGCCTGGCGCAGGTTACATGTATTGATGAGGATTTATTTAATATCTTTTGTGGAAATATGCAAGCAAAGTTTCCCCTCTAACTGAATCCTACTTGGGAAAAATGTATAATAGCTTTGTTTTAAAACAGATGACGATATTGAGCGGAAAATACCCTCAGATTTGTCGGTATTTTGAAGTAAATGTGAAATATATTGTACCAAAAACATAGTATCACTTTTCCCAATCATATTTCGGGTCCATAAGGATGCAACGAGTTTATTTATGCTACAAAAAGTTAACAATAATTGTTTTAATAATCTGCGCTGAGGCGATTATTGTGAAGCATTCCAAAACAGAAACAAATGACCGGCACGAAATCAACAAGGTCATATGATATCGTAACAAATATGTTTTTATATACCTAGAGAACTCTCTACAGTATATAAATTGGGCGCACTTAAGTACATAACTTAAAAATAAAACTCACAATCAACTTTGCAATACAGTGTTACGTTTTAAATGCATTATAAGCTCCGGGAATCCTTACCAGTACTGTGTTGTTATCAACTACAGATATATAGCTTAGAATATTAGCAATCGCACGAAGTGTTTAAGGACAGATGATACAAACAATTTTTTTCATTGGAGGAGACTTAATATCAAATTATAAGTTTAGAAAAGTGGATAATTCTTTGAATTTTTTCTCCAAATAGCTGGAAAATGATAAAGACTTTGAAAATATTAATAATATTTCAATAAAATTACAAATATGGACAATACACACTCAATAAAGGTTTACAGATGGAAACAAATTTTAGAATATGTTAAATTAGTGCTAAAAGTGTAATTTAAACTTTACAAAAGTATACCAAGCAGAATAAACATCAGTTATAATATATGAAATCTGTCCTCTTTAAAAAATTTACTTTATTTTGTATAATATGTACATTATTATTTTTTTATTTATATGTTTTGCTAAACAAAAAAGATACTACGGTAGCTAAGTCAGTAAACAGCTCGCCGCCTGATTGGATCACGTAATGTTGTTTGAATCACGTTCACAGCTGCGACTAACCTTCAAATAAAACATGTAGCAACTGTTTTTTTTTTCAAGCAGACATCACTTGGCTGAAATCGTAGGCCTCATCTCTCGGTAGGCGTCGGCATGATAAAGTACCCTTAATGCTTATTGGTCCTTAGTGTCTTGTACAGGTCTCAATTTGCAGCTTTTCATCGATATGTGGTGACGTATCCATATCAGGGAAAACGAGACGTGAAATACATTCTATCCTATTAAAAATAAATCTCCATCACCAACAGAGAAATCAACTCTGACAGTGCTGTCATTTTCTTCAGGTATATTTACACAAAAACGTTTAATTTTCAGTTGCAGAAAATAAGAATATTTTTTTAATATTTTTTATTCGTTCTCTTTGGATAAATGTAAATATAAATATTGGTTATTGATAGACTGCGATAAAGTTATTTATGTTTATCTTAAGTGGGCTGGATTTTACTTGTTTAAGAAAAAAAACTTAATTTTGTATTCGAAGAGAAGTCTGCACATGGCAGCATATTCTGATGATGTGTTGTAGATAAGATAAATAATTTCTATATTTTGATTAAAACTATTTCAAAAAGAAGAAGTATTTTGAGATTGAAGTTATTTGAATTCCTGCTCTGAAATTCTTGTACATTTATATAACAAAATTCTTCCGGTTCTAGTGAACAAAATTTGTGGATAATTTTGATAAAAAAAAGATCACTTATAATAATAGAATCGCCGCCCTAGAGTTACAAAGACTACATGTAGCTCTATTGAGTATACAGGAGAGGAATGTATTCTATGAAAATCGTTCCTGCATTAGGTTTGAGCAGATTCATAATGTAATTATAGTAAGGATAAAGAATGGTGTCTTTTTGAAAAAAAAAATCAGTGTATGACTATCATCTGCGCTTGATCATCAACTAAAATACATAAATACTCTGAAAATCAAATTCTAGATGGCATGGTGCATCATTATTATAAGAAAATATACTATGCATTAAATACTGCCGCATTCTATTTATATGTACATTTCATGATCAATATAATATCTCTAAAATTATGTATGGTGACTCAGAAGAAAGGAAGGATTTGCTAAATTATAAAAGATTTTTATATTTTGCGTAAAGTTCCTTCTTCCTATTAATGCAAATAAACTTTTTTTGGTGGTGTACTCAGTTTCTAATGCGTTTTCTGATATTAACAACAGGTGTGAACAACAGCTTACTTTCATTTAATTCTAAGTGTCGTTTATATCGGATATTTGAACTTTTACGTCCTCATCAATCTATATTTTGAGCACCAAGTCACTATTTAAATTTGGGCCACATCAGTTCACTCTTGGAAAATTGATTTTGGTTTAGATTTTTCTGCATTTATTTTACCTTCCTTGATGAAAAGTGCGACATGGATACTACATGTATCTGAATTAATTATCATAATTGTATTCAACATAAAGACATTGCGAAACATTAAAGTAATGTCCACAAAGATATTAGATATTTCGTGTGGAAAGATTTACGTCTTTTTGACAATATTATCACAGTTAATCTACATCAGGGCAACACGGTGTGGAAAGTAAGTATCTAAATTTCAATATTTGAAGAAATTGAACATTTTCATGCTAGAGAAAATCTTGAATGACTTCATTTGAAAGGTAAAGAAAAACCATTTTCTTTTGTCTAAAGAAATACCTGAATGAATATTTTTTTATTGTTTTAATAATTATACTTATGCATAAAAATAAACTCTTAATAGTGTTCTGTTAAAATTATAGGCTGACATTCAGGTTAAGTGGAAATGCATTTTTAAAAAGAAAAATACAATGTACACTCCAAGACTGCATTGAAATTATTGCAGTAAATATATCAATCGACATAATTTTTCTTTTTTTTTTTTTTTTTGAAAATAGAATAAAAAAAAATTATATTTTCAATTATTAATTATTTATCTATGATGAATTATTATCTATGATGAATATTTGTAACTTTAAATGAATGTTATAAATATTTCTTTTGAATAATCTGAATGTTAATAAATAGGTGGTCTGATAACCTTTTTATTATTTTTTTTAGTGATTGTTGCTCTGGATTTATATGGGATGAGGGACATGATAGTTGTATACGTATGTTTTCGTTATTGAATTTATCCATAAATCCAGAATATCGTCATTCAGCATTTAAAATGAAATTCAGAATATTTATTTAGTCTTTTCATTTTTAAGTATAATATCAATAAAATAAAAATTCGTCCTAACATGTATTATTTTAACTCCAATTGACGGTTTGGGTATTTAAAATATATTGATCAAAATATTTACAGAATATTCTTATCGATGAAAAATGCATTGATTGGTAAACACGCCTAAGGAAAATATAATAATAACTATATTTTGAATGCTTAACTGAAACTTACTTTCTAAAAATACATTTTATTAAGTTCCTAACGAGCATGTAAAGTTGTTTAAAATGTTTAGCGTGTAGGAACGGATATTATGGAAGAAATTGTACCTTGAGATGCTCTTATCCATATTTTGGGAAAGATTGTCGGCAAATTTGCAACTGTTCTCCAAGTGATTGTAATCATGAACACGGCTGTAAAATGTTACCCGAGGGTAAACATATTTTTATATTGTTGAATGAAAATATCAGTATACTTAAAAAAAGACTTAAAATTTATCGTGACATCGTCTACTTTAAGATTGCGATTTAGGATACACTGGGTCCTACTGTGAATTTCCATGTCGCTATCCTGCATATGGATATTCATGTCAGGAGTTCTGCAACTGTGAAGAAAAAAACTGTAATCCTTCAACTGGATGTGAAGGTAAAACTTGATCATCTGAGCTGAACTAAATGAACAAAGCTAAAAAAATAGCGTATTACTTTTAACTGCATTTTTTAGCATTGATATTATACAATTTTATGTGCTAAAAATAAATTTCTTTAATTATCCAAATTCAAAGAATATACATGGATCTTATTTGAATTGCCTTCCATGCAGTTGGATCGCCAACATTTGAACCAGCCTCCAAATCAACAACCAAGAAATCAACGAATACATTATTATCAACAACTACAGGTAAATTGCTAAAAATATCAGCTATCATCCGGAATGTTTAATTACGAATAAATTAACGTCCTTTTTCTGAATAGCTGGACACGGACACACGATTATTATAGTTTCGTATTTGTTCTGTCTGCGTCTATGAAAAATATTATCAATGATTATTCCACTGATTTAAGATTTCATTACCTCCATCAACCTTGTAAATAAAAATGAGTTTACCATTTATTTAATATTAACTTCTTGTCGAAACAAAAAGAGAATTCTAGCGTTTTCTCTTTTTTCAATTTCTTCTAGACTGTGACACTGTTTTTTTTGGGCAAAACTGCAACATTTCATGCCGCTATGGACATTCATGTCAGAAATCAACTTAACAAAACCAGACAATTTAATATTCATATACTTTGAATTCTCGATTTATTTTCAGTTGTCAACGTCGTAGAAGAAAATCGACATTGGTGCCAAAACAGAACTTATATCCATTATTGGAACAAACAAAAGAAAAGAACCTTACTGATCTTTGGAATAGCATTTTTAATATCTTTGTCAGTTTTGATGATGATTATATACCCTTTTATAAACATTAAAGGGTCAAGAACCTTTTATACACTATTATATTGATGAAAAGATTATAAGAATGATACAAATACAAGCAGATTACAAGATTGAGATGGATCTCTTCTGAACTATGTACAGGGAATAAAAAATATTGACTTCTGTACTTTTTAATTTGATTAAATATTCAATTAGTTGTCCTCATACAT